GGCTTGGAGTGTTCTTCATTATCATTAGGTCTGCAGTGCAGTATTAGAGGAAGGGGGATTAGCTTGTGATTCGCGAAAGGTCTTGCAGAATGGGTGTACTAGTTGGAGATGTTGTTGTGCGCTTAAAGAGGGTGTGAAATGGTTCATGGGTAGTGAGATGATGTGGTCTCATGATTCGGGTCAATCGGGATGAATGCGGATCGAGTTTGTTATATTTTGAATGGAGCCATTATTATTTTTAAGGTAAGTCAGGAGTAAATTGGAAGAAGTTGGTTCGGTTAGTAGTGGTTGAATTAGCATGATTATGGCAATGATCAGTTCCTTCACGGGTGAAGTTATACATGTGGTTGGTGGTTGTACGTGCGGGCTTGACAACCACCATAACTTGATGAATTTGGGAGATATTTGATTCAAATAGCCTTCTTGTGTAAATGGATTCCGGAAGAGTTATGGCGGTTTAGATCACGACTTGAGGTTTGTATTTTTCTGCGGTTTGGGAATTTAGTTGCATGTTGTAATGGTTCTTCTGAAATGAGTTAAGTGAAAGGTTTCTAGCCAATAAAGTATTTAAATTCTACTAGTAGTTCGGGGGTTATGATAAATTCTTATACTCTTTTGTAGCGGCATGATAGGTGCAATGAGTGTCATGGGAATTGGAAGTTGAGGATCAAAATTGTGTTTTGATGTTGACAAGAATGTCACGAGCTCGGATGAGCAAGGAAGATTCACATGTTCAGAGTAAGATGACATTGTGTCACCTGAGAATGGTATCCTGTGTAAGAGGCTTTGTGTATTGATTTGTCGATTCTTGATTTGCCTTACAGAATTAGTACGGTTGGTGGTATGGAGGAGCAAACTTTGTTACCTGGTGCAGAAGGCCGAATGAGCGTATCCCGCGGGAAAATTTATGTAAGTGTGACATGTTAGACACTTGATTGTTAAGGATTGAAACCAAGTATGAAATTTTTTGGTACTGTCGCTAATATGAGAGTTGATTCCTTAAAGGCGCTCTATTTATTTGGTTGTGGACATTGAAAGTTTGTTCTAGATTGGACAGTTGCTTATGTGTATCATGAATATGGCCATTGGGGATCCTTGAAAGGTTATTGGCCCAGTATAGTAAGATTAGGATCGGTTTGAGGTTCGTCGGTGGATCTAATGTGAATATGTGCTCTATATCATATCGGATATGTTCACTCGTCATAGCATTGCTTAAGGAGGAGGAGTCGGGCATTGGATGTTAATCCTGTCGTCAGCTATTCTGTGTAATACTCTATTGTGCTATGTGGGTTGTGACGCGAGTTGATTATTCACATATGTGTTGAGGTCCCGTGTAGCTTGTGGTGTTATATGAGCAGGAAGGCTCTCAAGATACAGGTCATTTATCGTACCTTAGTTGTGCTTGGGTTTTGTAGTGTATGGCGCTATCCGTCTCCCCAGGGTTGTATTTTTACACTTGGCGTGCTTGTGGTCGATATTCAGTATTTCATAAGTATAAGCATTTTGGCTTGATGGGTATTTCTTTATTTATTGTTATGTGTGGATCGGGTGGCATGCTGCCACGGGTATGTTGTTTGGATCGGGTTGCACGCCGTAACAGTATCGTGTGTGGATCGAGTCGCACGCTGCAACAGTAAGATGCTGATTACAATTCCCTATATCCATTCTTGTGTATTTTGTTCTCATTCTCTGAGAAGGGTTCATAGCGTCTGTTCGATCGTTTTATTCATTACGCGGGCTGGGTAGTTCTTTTCCAGAGTTCGTTCTTCCTTATGTGTCATATTTAAGTTGTAGCTTGTTGGCGCATTGATGGCGTCATAGGAGATTTTGGTCAGTGTTTGAAGTGGCTCATTACCGGAGCAACTTGTACTGGTGAGACGAGGTTATTAGGTCTGAGATCAGTGCGATCAGATTTATGTAGGGTACATTAAAGATAAATATCGTCATTCGGTTCAAAATGAGGTAATGATTCTTGTCAAGTGAGAGACTGCATGATTTATTGATTTGGCAGGTGGTTAGGAGTTTCTACATATCTCTTTCGTCGTGGCGGTATTGTGAGAGTTGGAACAAGGCTTATAGGTGTCATGAGGTGTATTACGTGCATCAGATTCGTGGGATTTCAGCTATTGTGTCGAAGGATGTTATTATGGGCAAACGACTTATGTGGTGCATGGTGCGATTTCAGCATAGGTGCATGATTAGGTTTTGGTACAATGTGTAGGGATTGATGCGATGTTCGTATGTTAGAATCGGGTGTCGTGGAGAATTCCGAAAGTTGGAATTTGGTTCTAAGGCTGGTTACCTAAGGTTATAGGGAGGATCTTCAGTCTAGCTCGAGCCAGTTTGCTCACATGTTAAATACTACTTATGTGTTTTTTATTTTATGAGTTAGAGAGAATAGTTATGTGACTTTGTTGTTATAAAACAAACAAAAATGACTATTATAGGATACTTTCATAAGACGAGTAACCATTATCGTCTGAATATCATGACTAACTAATGTATGATTTTCTTTCATTAATTGCTTAGTTATGTTAAATTGAATTGATCTGATTTAAATAACTTATTCGAATAGGTATATACCTATCAGTGAAGAAGAGTGCTAGGGTTGTCGAAAGTCAAAAACCGTCGAAGCTTTAAAGTCATGCGTTGGTTTTCATCATTCAGAAAGGGTTCTGCTCTCCAGAGAGTAGAAAGAGGTGCAAATGCATTAGTCTTGAAATCTGAGTGTCAAAAAACATGTCTCATTTCTGACTTGTTTGTTTGTTTTTTCTTGTTGAATTGCTTATTGAAATCTACTCGTTATAATCTTCCAAAACTTCCATTGCATCTTAAAGAAATTAGTCGTTAGTCAAATACTTAGATGCTTTGAAATTCTCAAGTCTAGAAGCCCTTATCACAACCAACTCACCAGGTGCTCCATGTGGGATTAGAGTTTATTTGAGATTCCTTGAAGAAGAACGTTATTTTGTTTTATCAAAATGGGGTTTCTGTTATGTCAAAACAAATTATCACATGTATTATGATTCTTTTTTGAACTGTCCATTCATAAAGACCTAAAACTCACGATTTTCACATCACAAATCGCTATCGTCGAGATTTTAGGTCGGCCAACCACTTCATGTGGATCATTTGCTTCGACTTTTAATACGTGGAAAAAAGACTTCGACTCATTGGCAAATTAAAGGGGTATTGCATTCCTGCTCCTTATAAATATAGTTTATCCCTTTCTCACCCCCAGTGACTTTCCAATTAATTGGTCTTCCTCATTTGAAGGTTCTTGTCAACAGACATTCATTGCATGGGCTTTAATCTATTTTGGGCTTTTGGATTAGGCTTGAATTGAGACTTATATGTGAAAATAGCACGGGATAATTAGTTTTCGAACTAGTAATTAAAAAATAATCACTATTTGTAAAGTTACTATTTTGCTGCAACACGAAAAGTTCCAGCATAATATACTGGAGATTGGTGCACATGTATATGAACGTCCTGCATATTATGCTGGAACTCCAACATACGGAAAGTTCCAGCATAATATACTGGAAATTGGAGCACATGTATGTGAACTTCCAACATATTATACTGGACCAGTATATTATGCTGGAACTCTAGTATATTACGCTGGAAGTTCACATGTAAAAAATTTGAACTCCAATATATTATGCCGGAATATTTTTCGGATTTTGAACAGTATTTTCGTTAAAACTTATCTTTACATGAAAAGTGGCTAAATTTCGATTGCTTTTGAAATTATGACTGTTTTTCAATTATCACTTATAAATTTGGCTATTTTTGAATTTCACCCGACTTATCTGTCTTTCATCTCTTGGGCCACTCATTTGGGCTTATATAGTTCTCTTGACCCATATATAATAGTGAGGTTCTACTAGGGATCAACCTGAAATACCATATTTCTTTACTCTCTGTTGTGGATCAACTAACCAATTATATATGGCGAAGCTGCAAATTGCCATGTTACCTTCAAATGAAGTTATGTTATCTGACGAAGTGACGAAGTGAATGTTAAGGGTCATTAGATAAATACTCCCTTCATTCACTACGTTTTGACTTTTCACGCCCCTTAAGAAATAATAAATGAAGTGCATAATTTACTATGATACTCATATTAATTGATGCATATTTTATTAGATTTGAAAAAATAATTTGAAATGAGTAATAAATATTGTGAGTTTATATGAAAAAAAAATTGTCTTCTCTTAATATGCGTAACGTGACAAGTGAAAATAAAAATTTATTTTTAATATACATGCCAGGTAAAAGTGAACGGAGGGAATATAAGTAAAACAAGATATACTGCAAATTTAGTTTCCATAAGAAGAATGAAACTGAAGTGAAATTAAATGCGATGCTACATTTAAATGCTGACAATTCAAATATCTGGACTTAGTAACTTAGGAGAATGACATGATAGATACAATTGGCAAACTTATGACTTTCCACTAAGTCGTAGATAACTAACTTATAGTTTTGACTGATTTTAACTTATAAACATTTGATTTTTAATCACTTTAAGTGTTTGTCTAACTCGTATTTAAGCTAAAAATACTTATAAATTAGTTTAACCACCTGATAACTTGACCAAATAACCTCGTATAGTTGACTGTAATTTAATTGATTGATCAGAGAAGAGGCGGAGCCATAATTTGAAGTTGATGAGTTCCGAACCTGTCACCAAACTCATAATTCATTTAATCACTGTGTTCGCAGTTAAATATTTATATATGTTTAGTGAATTTTCTAATACAAAACAGGGTCTAAGTAAAATCTATTGAGTTCGTCCGAACCCGTTAATGATACACTCGGGCCTGAAACTATTGTAATTAAAAAAAATAAAAAAAATAATCCTTCCATAAGAGAAAAGATAAACTTTTTCAATCCAAATCTACTTATCTAGAACTGTCTTTTTCTTTTATCAGTGAATTTATTTTAGTAGAATTATTAATTCGATAAAACAAATAAAATAAAGGAACCCATTACCAGTCTGTTAAGTCTATTCCAGCCTGTACAACTACACCCACAGCAGCAATGTCTTCCCCTGTTTGAAAAAACAAAACTCCCAACTAATACCCCAAAACTGTTCCCCTTTCTTCCAATCTCTTCTCAATTCATTTCCTTTTTTCTTGTTGCATTCTTTGATCTGCCTATTCTTCGTCGCCATTTGAGATAAGCTGAAATCTGAGCAGATAAAAGATTCAAAATGAGTGTAATCGACATTCTTACTCGCGTCGATTCAATTTGCAAGAAATACGACAGGTACGACATCGATAAGCAGAAAGATTCAAACATCTCCGGCGACGATGCGTTCGCTCGCCTTTACGCCGCCGTCGATGCCGACATTGAAGCTGCTCTTCAGGTCACTTCTATTTTCACTGCTATTCAATTTTGTCAACAAAAGCAAAAAATAGATCGAGTTTAGTTAGAATTATTTGAAATTTTTGAAGCAATTTGCGGTTACAGAAAGCAGAGACAGCTTCGAAGGAGAAAAATAGAGCGTCTGCTGTGGCGATCAATGCGGAGATTCGAAGAACTAAGGCTAGATTAGTAGAGGAGGTTCCTAAATTGCAGAGACTGGCTATGAAGAAGGTGCATTTTCACTTGATTTTATGATCTCAGTAGTTAGCACATTGTCCAGCTTGTCATCCTTCTTAATTTGGTCAATTGTGCCCTTTGAGAATCAGATTTTAACTTAACTAACTGAGATACTTTTTTGATGTATCAAATTAGAGATTTTTTAGTATTTGTTTTTTTGGGCTAATATTTTCTTTTCAGATGTTAAGTATGTTCTGATACAATGTAAAAGAAGCAGAGCCATGATTTTAACTTGATAGATTTAATTTTTAAAGTTCTTGTCACTGTACTCACTATACTTTTGTAATTTTGAGTTCAAAATCTAATATTTGTTGAAAATTTGATGGTTTTCACATGTATATCTGTGTTCCGTTTCAAAAATACCGGGTTTGGTTGAACCGTAGCACTAAGGCTAGATCTGTCACTGTAATGTAGAGCGACTATGACCCGTCAAGGATATACGGAAAAAAAAAACATAATTGAGCTTAGTCTAGTTTGTGTTTTACTCTACTGAGTTTTCTCTGATGCATTTGTCTGCTTCAGATTTATTGGACGCACTTGTTATTATGGTTGGATAATGTAGTAGCTCAAGAGATCGGAGATTCATAGCAAGCATATATTGGTAGAAAGTGCCATATGAATGCCAAATTGCCCGAGGCTATGTTTAGGTGACTCGATGGTTATGGGTTCTTAGACTTTCATAGAACAGCATTCCTTTTATATATGTCCTCGTACTTATAAATTATATTAGCCCAAGTTATTTTCTTGTTGTCTTGGGATAGGGTCTTTCAGTTGACTTGTTAAAGTTCATTTATTTGAGGGAATTCTGATGGTATTCAACTTGCATTTTCCTCACGCTTGTAACCAATGTACCTGTGGACAACAAGATGAAATTACATGAAAAAGCTCATTTTTGAAGTAGAACCACAGACGAGATTGTATTATCCAGATTTTTATCAGTTTGAGTGAAGTTTTTTAAAACATTCTATTCTAGCTCATGAAAGGGGGTTTACGAGTATATTTTGCTATCAGAGGAGGGTTATGAATGCCAATCTAAAAATATGATGTCATAAAATGTAATTAACCCTAAGAAGTTCGTATGTTAATAAATTAGTTTTAGTTTATGTTGGGATTTTTTGGTCATTTATCATGCTTGCTTATTTTACCTTTAGCTTCTTGAAGTGTTGTTATTTCTTATTAAAGATTTGTACGTTTTTTATTGAAATCCTGATGAGGTTTTAGTTTAATTCTAAATAGGTTTATTTGCAACTTTCCACGTTTAACAATATAAAAAGAAAATGTTTATATGCAACTTTTTCACAGTAGCCATGCTGGAACAATGAAGCCTTCTTCTATCCCATAGTTTTTCTTGCACTTCATAGTGATGTATTCTGCATTACCTTGGCATCTTTAGTTAGTTTTCTCTCTCTGATGTATGTATGACAACATTTTCATTACTTTTGTTTTTATAGGATGATAACATTTTCATTACTTATCAATATCAAACAAAACCCTTGTGCATGAAAGGTTAATGCTAAGGACAGTGGATGTGTGGTTTATTTGTAAGATTTAGATATAAAACCATTTGTGTGTTTTTAACTAATCATCCATTATGTGTCTCTAGATGATTTTATAAATATTTTGTTTCTCAAAAGAGAACTATTAGTAACATAATAATTTGTAATACTGGAGATATCTGTGAGATAGATCAGGAAGAGGGACAAAAATGTACAATAGTCCTAGAGTTTACTTATATGATTTAGGTATAGAAGCCAATTTGTGGACGAGTCCAACTTCCCATTATGTTGTGTACTCTATGTTACATGGATCCTCCATTTGTCTCATCATACCCGTGACCGATGGGTGTGGATGGATGTGGCTCTTTTATGTGCAGATTCTTCAAAATACACTAGAATTTAGCTCGAACCCCTTAGTAAAACAAACCTTGCATATAGGATACAATTTCCATAGCTGAGTTCATGTAACATGGGTGCTCGTGTTCATAAAAGTGGGTGCAAATGACCATATCTTATTTGGAGTCATATCTTAGTATGTTTTGTTTCCCTGTCTTATTGGAGTGACATGGTCAGTAGCACTCTGGCCAGATTCTTTGTTTTCTCATCATTGGCAATCTTCTGTTCAGTTCTATTCTATGAATGTCATTGTTGCTAAAACATGGGAAAAGAGGTCTGAGTGACGGTTGAACGATTTAAAATGAGTTTGTTTTTTTTAAAGATGGGCAGATACTTTTCTGGAAAAGAAATTGTGGACATTAGCAATCTTAGTTGCATTTTTATGAGAAATACTAATTGCCCTAATAATTTGATGTGACATACAATGAACTCAGTGTAATCTTGGCGACACACATCCTAACATATTAAACTTAAAGAGATTAGAGAAGCTTAAGAAAAATGTAAATTAATAAAAAAAGAGAAGTGCTGCAATTGAAGATCTTCACAGTGCTGGGTTGGGGGAGAGATGGTAACAGTGAAATTTTATCTCTATTTCGGGAGCACCGTTCCACATGTACTTCGCACAGATTTGCAGTTTCTTGTCAAAGAGTCTTAAATTAATGTCTTTGCCTTCGAAGACCAAAACGATTTTTTACCTTAGCCAGGAAGAAAGAAAGAGTGAAACCATTTGAACAGCATTTTTAGACTTCAATCTCTTGAAAGGATTTCTCTATTGTTATACTATAAGACATCGGTGCTAGGATTTCTCTGAATATTGACAAGATTGACGTGGAATACAATACAAGAAGGAACATTTATACATTCAGTAAACATGACCAAGTGCATGTTTAACCAAGTTCTTGGTAATTTAATTGGCATTTGCTGGTTATTAGTACTTTATCAGTCTATTAGGAGATCAACAATTCTAATATCTGGCAGTATAATGACTAAGTTAAGGACGAGCTATTTTTATTTTTTTTTTTGGTTTAGTTTTTTGATAAATTAGGTCCTAGATTGGTTGAGGGAATGAGTAGTGGTCGCCTTATATGATCTTGGGCAATCCTCCTCTCATGAGCTAGCTTTTGGGGTTGAGTTCGGCCCAAGGTTCAGTTCTTCACATGGTATCAAAGTCAGACCATTGATCCCTGTTGTTGTGTTCTCAATGTTGAACCCCCCTGTTATCCATGCATTAGTTGTCCAGTCCTGGAACTGGGCATGTGAGGGGATGTTAAGTCCCACATTGGTTGAGGGAATAGGTTGAGGTCGCCTTTTATGGTCTTGAAAGCAATCTCCTCTCATGAGCTAGCTTTTGAGTTGAACTAGGCCCAAGACCCATTTCTTCATTGTAAGTAAATAAATTTATTGTGAAGATTAGAAGGGCATACAAGATTATACAACAGTCATAACATACTACCAACAACCGGAAGAAGTCTACTAAGAATCACTGCAATTTGAGCCATACTTGTCTCTGTTGTCAAGTAGTCAGTACTTCAAGAATTATGCTGTTTTACAGTTCCTTTCTGGAAGCTGTCATGTCGTTAAATTCGATTTCTTGTTCATCTTTTGTTATATGCCTGGGTGGTGGGGATGGAAGGCGGAGTTCAGGGGGTATTCGAGGTCAGAGTTGGTAGTGTTAATTGATTTAGGTTCTGGGATTTCATGAATACTTTTTTTCCTTAGATGCTGTTGCAGCTCTTCCTGGGGAACAAACTCCTAAGTAAATTTAAATTGATTTTCATCTCCTTTACTTTTTCTTCCACAACTTCTTTCATGCCCAGTCAGTTTTAATATCAGTATTCATTAGCATAGGTCTACTTATAGAAATCATTCACATCTTGCTAGTAAAGAGCACAAGGACCACTAAGTTGTGTGATTAGTATAAATTAAGTATATGTAAAATAAAGAGCAAAACTTGATTGGAAGGGCGTGATAGTTTGTAGATCTCAATTCTCTTATGAGCCGGTGTCGTCCAATCTCTCACTAGGAGCCTGTTTGGATTGGCTTAAGAAAGGAGTCTTTTCAGCAGAAATAGCTCTTTTAAGACAAAAAGCAATAAGTTGGGTTGCCCTGGTTATTGCTTTTGGCTTGTTTTAAGCAATTTTTAACTTATTTTAAGCACTTTTTAACTTTGCCAAACGCTGAAAAAGCTAAAAAAAAAAAGAACTTAAATGCTGATTTGACCAGCTCAAAAGCCAATCCAAACACGCTCTAGGGATGATAGTTATTGACTTCTTGCTGTCTTTCACTCTGTAGTTGCAGCATGCTTTTCTGTTTAGAAGATACAGAATTATACCGTCATTTAGGAGCTTTGTATGTGCAACTGGTGCTTGTCATTACCTCTCTTACCCTCCTTTTTCCGTTATTATGAATATTACAGATGTCTTTGGAACTGTTTTCTTTCTGCTGTTGTCCAATTAGTATTTGCCCTTTCATCACCAGAAACAACCTAATTCCATTTGGTTTGTGTTAGATATGTACATAATGTAGTCTTGTCCCACATTGGAATAGGAGTAGTAGTAAGACCTCTTAGTATAGCTATCAATAAGGACCTCTTGTATTGTATTGAACACACAATATCAATGTATCATATTTTCTCAATATATCATATTTTCTCCCGTGCCTTTTCACATGGTATCAGAGCTATCGTAAGATATTTATCGTTGTGCATAAATTCCAGCGATTCCGGGAAGTGAAATCAGTCACCAGAACCTTTTTTTTTCGGCGATTTTTCAAAGTTGTTCTGCGTCGGCTTTGTCTCGGTCAGTGTTGCGCAAAATCCAACACTACCACAAGAGTAGTCATTGTCCGGCGACCAAACCCCAGCGAAATCTTTTTCGCTACTGTAGCTGTCGGAAGAAACTTTTCTGGCGAAGTTCCGACGTCGCGTGGGCCACCTTGCGGCCATTTTTTGGCGACGACTCTTCAGGACAGATTGTTCCCCTTGTAATTTCGAGCTTACCCATCCAGGTTACACCAAATTCCGACCACTTTTATATTTTTCCGGCGTGAACAGTGATTTCAAAAGTGGACTTCCGGCCATTTTTTGAAAAAGTTTCTTCAGAACAGTTGGGTTGTCTGGTAATTCCGATCCTACACCTACTGTTTTTATTTCATTCTGGTCACTTTGAATTTTTTCCGGTTGCTACAGTATTTTCTGGC